CCTGTAATCTATCTAAAGATAGACTCTGCACAGTACTTTTACATTTGTCATACATGCAACTCCTCAGATATTACACATTCCCAAAGCTTCTTCTCGCTTAAGAGCCGATTCTACAAACGTATCCAGGCAAGAACCACCATGCTCAGAGAAATAGTCCCTCTGATGTTAGCAGGGTTAATCATCTAAGTAAAGGTATTTGCATGCGCATCTATCTAAAGATAGACTCTGCACAGTACTTTTACATTTGTCATACATGCAACTCCTCAGATATTACACATTCCCAAAGCTTCTTCTCGCTTAAGAGCCGATTCTACAAACGTATCCAGGCAAGAACCACCATGCTCAGAGAAATAGTCCCTCTGATGTTAGCAGGGTTAATCATCTAAGTAAAGGTATTTGCATGCGCCAGGACTGTTCCCCACTCTGGCACTGCAAGTGGAGAAGGTGGGGGCCCGCAAAAGACCTCAAATACCTTGCCTCTATAGGCTCCGCTTACAAAAACTCCCCGGAGTCACAAATTCACTGCGCCCCTGGGAGACTGGCTGCCACCATCGAGTGAATTAAATAAAACCTGAAAACCAGGAAGAAATACTTGAACTTCTTTCCCAGGGGTACCCCAAGCTCTTTTGCCTCAAGAGAGCTTGAAAAAAGAAACAAAAAACACAGAAAATAAACTGCATCTCTGACAGCTGACCTCTTAGACTGGGCAGGCACACACACAGACCTCCAGTTTCCTTCCAGAACACAAGAATCAAACCATCGCCTTAAAAAAGGTGAACTTATTGACAACACAAAAAAGTACACTTGATAAAGCACACTTGGTTGCTAGGTGTTACAGAGCATCTAAGAAAAGAACAGATTAAAACAGAGAAAAATAGTATCTCTGGCACAGCTTAAGTATGGTGAGCAGGGGGAGAGAGGCACATGCATTTCACACAGAGACATTTAACCAAACACAAAACTAAGAAAAATACCCTAATCGCAACTAAACATACATTCCCTTCTCTACTCACGATCCATACTGATCCCTATTCCCATGCCCAATATTTCTTGTAGGCATGATAATTCCGTTTGATTACTCCACCTTGCTTCCTCCCGCCCTCGACTTAGAACTCACACAAAGGAAAAACCGTCAATATAAATTTCAAAAGTCTTTCCCATTGGCTTTCTGCCAACACTTCCTAGATACCTGAGTTTAACCCTTTAGTCACCGGTGCTGGCGAGCACGCCTCCTATCTGTCACAGCATGTATAAATGGTTTTGGTATTGGATCTGGAGATATACCCTCCATTTGACCCACATCCTTGGCTCCTGTAAGTATTACTAAAAATGTGCAAGTGAATCCAAAGTTCAAAGCATTCACTGCACATTTGTGCATTTCTAAAGGAGCCCCTGGAATATTTTATTAATGTGTTCGGGATATAGATTCATTTAGCGAAGAGTGATTCTAAACAGAAAATCCCAGAAATGTTTTTTTTCAGGTGAGGAAAAAAACAATATGCTCCTTATTTTCACCCCTTTCCATGGTGGAGACAGAATTCCTTGGGGTTGGATCACTGCAGTTATTTCAGTACAAGGCTTCTTCCTCAAATATGACATGGGACCCCTGACCCCACTGCTCCTCTGGCAGAAGCACCAGCATTGAACTCATTTGGAAATATTGTGTGTTTACCCGAGGCTACAGTTTGTCAGCCCTAATGAGGATTTTATTTTAGCCCATCAATTAGAACCGATTCATTAGTGAGTGCCGTAAGCTCAATATTTTTTTTAAAATTTTACAAAAAGACAAATAAAACCTGATCCCCTACTCACCAGGCAATTTAGCAGGATGACAGATAATCCAGAGGGCTAAAATGTTCAGACGGTTTTCTACTGAGATTTATGCCAGCTGATGGTTGTCACAGACAAGAGACTACTTTTATCATATCAATGGAAGAATAACAGCATTAACTGGAGGGCTAATTTTGTTGTCCTCACCCTTGCTGCTGTCAGACAGGTGGCTTGGCAAGATGCACTGAGAGTTAGGACAGTGTGTGTAGGCAGCCTTCCAAGCAGCCTCTTTGAACATAATCCAAAATTACACATCTAACAAAAACCTTTCATTGAGCTCAATGTGCCTTTCAAAATGCAAGAGAGTTGGATAAATCAATAGTGTCTATGGCTTCCCGGACAGTCCCCGCCATGTTACACAGAACAACAATAATGAGTCCTAAAGGTATTCTTCAACATCATGAACCAGGCTCCACAAGAACCCTGTGGTTGGCTTCCAAACTACATGGGAAAGAAAAAGAAAGAGAGAGAAAGAAATACGGGGAAAAAAAAGAAGAAAGAAAAAAATACAGAAAGGAAAAACAAAGAAAAACCAAACAACTAAAGGAAAACCAACCAACCAACCAAATTAATTATTTTTATTGCCTTCTCTTTGACTCCTACAAGGCTATAGAATCACCTTGAATTTTCCAGTTTTGTTTTGCAACCCTGCCAGCCAGGGCTGGTGGACCAGTATTTATAGTGGGGGGAGGGGGGCACTGACAGCTGTTGTACCAAACTGGAAACTCTACATAATGGAAACTACATAAGGCTCGCAGGGAATCTGCAAGTGACCCCTCCCCTGTCTCCTATTCCCAGCCTCTGGCAACACAGGCTAGGGTAACCATCCCAGCTAACATCCATTGATGGACCTAACTGCCAGAACATTATCTAGTTCTTTTTTGAACCTTGTTATAATCTTGAGCTTCCCAACATCCTCTGGCAGGGAGTTCCACAGATTGATTGTGTCCTGTGTGAAGAAATATTTCCATTTGCTTTAAATCTACTGCCTATTAATTTCATTTTATGACCTCTAGTTCTTATATTATTTATTCCTTCTTGTGCTTCTAATTTTTGGGGGGAGGACTGTTACTTTTTGAGTCTTTGGCTAGCTGACCTTCAAATTCTTGTTTGGCCTTCCTAATTATATTTTACACTTCGCTTCTCAGAGTTTATGCTCTTTTTCTATTTTTCTCCAATAGGATTTTTACCTCTAACTGCTTTTTTACTTTGTTGTGGAGCCACGGCAGCACTTAGTTCTTAACGTTCCTAAATGTAGTATAGGCATTTAAACAGAGCTTCTATTATGGGGTCTTTAAACAACTTCCATGCACTTTTGGAACTGCACCTTTCAATTTCTGTTTAGCTAACTTCCTCATTTTTGTGTAGTCCCCCTTTCTGAAATTAAAGACGACACCGGTGGAGTGTTTCACATTACAGTCACTATTTCCAAGCTAAAACAAAATACAGGACTATGTAGCACTTTAAAGACTAACAAGATGGTTTATTAAACTATCTTGTTAGTCTTTAAAGTGCTACATAGTCCTGTATTTTGTTTTAGCTTGGAAATAGTGACTGTAATGTGACCAAGCTGTTGAGCTATATTCATCTCTTGGACCATGTTGTGTGGTACACTTACAAATAAATCAAGCATTGCCACTCCTCTTGTGGGTCCCAGGACTAGCTGCTCTAGAAAACAAACTTAAAGAGCCAGTCTCAGTGTGAATGATCTTCCCCAAAGTGCCCACCTGACCCTGAACGGGAAAAATCGGGGATCCCTTGCTGTTCAGCACTATATGTCTGGTCATGGGATCTTCTCCTTGCTCCAGCTGAACTTGAGCACAAGGCCCTGACACCACAGCAACTAGCTATCTGGTTCGTCTGGGGTTTTGGCAATTTATCATCTGGAGGACAGATCGCAAAGGAGCCTCTCCAAGAAAACACTGGCCAAGAAGATGGGAAACTAGTCAGCAGAATTCGTTTCCAAACACGGTAGCTCTTCCAGACTAAATAACCTCTCCTGTGTCTGCCAAAGAAACATTTGCACAGTGGAGGGGGGGGGGATCTTTGATTTTTTTTCTTCTTCTTCAACAATTCTAACACCATGCGAGCCGAGAATGAGAAAGGAAGGGGATCACCATGGATTTGTGAAGCTAGGATAGACCATTTCACTAGTCTAGATAAACAACACCCATTTTCTGAACTGCTGAGACAAAGCATTTTATAAACCGAGTTGGAAGACTTGTGAGCATCAAAGGAGTACTTAAAGTGCTTTTAGTTTTCTGCATTTCCATTTGCTATGAGATTAATGGGGAGCTGTTATCTTTCCTTTTTCCCCCCCTCAAAATATCATTTCTACCGGCAATTGCTTTTCTCCCACTTTAACTCTCTAGAATGAAAAGGGGGAGGTGAGACTCACTCAGCAAGAGAATGTCCATCTCATCCCTTCACTGGGAACTTAACCACGGCTGTGATTTAGGGCTTGTCTCTACCAGGATCTATTCCTAATAATAGGAAAAACGACCCCTGAGTAATTCCATATGGGACGCACTTACACTGGAATAAAAGTGTCTCCACGTGGAGTTACTCAGAGATAGTTAATCAGGAGTATCTCCATATGTACACATGTTCAAAGGGCAGGGAACATCTAGACACCACAAGAAATCTGA